GTTTATGTTTGAAAATCATGTGATATTACGCTTGGCTTTCGTATACAACAAGTTGTGCCAAATCTATGCTATCATATGCTATGGGAGGCACACCAGAGGCACAGCCAAAGTGGTGGCAATGCCTTCATTGCCCGTTCACTTCTATCAATACTTAGAGCTCGCCCTACACTCCAAGCCGTTTAACACTCACTCGCCGACCGAATGTCCACTTCATTGCACTCATTGTCTTCGCCGACAACACACGGATCTGATAGAAAAGGGTAAGAATATGTCCATCAGTGACAACACCACCAGTCATGGCATGGGATAGGGAGGGGAGGGTTGGTATGAGGTTAGGTATGGGGCCGAGGCTGTAGTGCCTGGAGTGCTAATGTAGTACATGTATGGCTGGCAACCATACGGAGCCCAACACCAGCTGCTTGTGGTTGTAGTGTATGTGTGAACACAAGGCTATGCTTTAGTATGTGTTTGGGTTCTCCACTATTCAGTCGCTCAAACTTTTGTGAAATCTTTTTTAGCCATTCATTTGTGTATTACTTGAGAGAAACCAACGTTTCAATTGGTTTTACCTTCAGTTTTGACGACACAAAACAATTGGCCTCTAATTTGAGGCAACACTTTATGACAACACTTTTTGTGCGCATTTTTGCCATCAAAACAATTATTTGTTGTGTTTTTGTATTGAAATGATCGCAAACTTTGCACTCAATTTGTTGGGCTGTAAAACACTTGTGTTGTCTCTCAGTCTGTGTTGAGTTTTTTGATGATTTCATGACTTATTATTACTTATTATTATTTCTAAAAAGTACTTAAAAGTATCGATGATATGGTTTACATGTATTGACTCTTTTGGTATCAATTGTTATGAATAATGAGTTTTTCAGTACAACTGACGACTCCCTCAGGATATGATGCCCTCAGATATGCACTTCAGTAAGTCTTACACCACTTCTCATATATACATGTCTTGTAAATGCATTTAAACGACAACTCTTTGTAAGACAATGGTTTGGTTGCACTGCGAAGGCATGCAATCATTGCAAAGGTTTTGCATACCTATGACTGTAGACTCAATGGTAGGCCTCTATAGACATGCAGACCATTGCGTTGACACTCAACCACCTCTCGAGCGCCCGAAACCTAAACGTCATAATTATTTGTATGGTATGAATGAGTGGGCACTCAATCCACTCAATCCCTGCCATTAATACACAATATTTATATATTTATATTTACATAACATTTGGGATATCATTGAACGCCAAATGAATTGACGATTACTGTTAGTCTCAATGCCTAATGTGTTGATGTGTTTAGCACTAGATTTTCTGGCAATTCATTTCTCGGTTCAAATCTCCCATTAATTAAATGCAATTCAACTGTAGTTTCTATCATTGGATTCACTCGTTGTGTTGACTCTTGTCTTGTGTTAGATATGAATGAGTTATAAAACATGTCTTTCGGACCCGATTTAAGGTTAGATTCAGTACTTAATGATTGCAATTGAATTACAAGACGCTATGTTTGTACTGTATATGACATTTGGCGCCTCCAATGCTAATTCAGTCATACATTTGATTGATTAGTTATTTTTGATTATATATTGATTTGTTGTCCAATACTTGTGATGAATGTATAGTTTTTTTTAATGAATCGGCAAATGATATGATATAAGAGAAAAGATGGAGTATTTGGTGAATGTTTGGCACAAAAAACGTGAACCACTTATCAGTTGAGCGATGAATATGTGATAACAGAGATGTGAAGTGTGGTTGCGATGAGATATTCACTGGTGGTAAACATCTGTGCATTATATCTGCCAACTCTTCACTTGAATCCCATGTCTAACGCCAATGACATTCAAATGTTTTTGTTTTCAATCAAATTTCAAATGACATAAATGTTTGCAAACAAATGAAATGAAAGCGTAACTAAAGTGTAACTTCTGTGGTGTTTGTAGGTCTCAATTGGGCCGCAAAATGATGACATCGTCCACTTTGGTCGAGACGGTGTCCATCAACTACGAGGACTTCACCGAAGGCTTCCTCACGTGTGGCACTTGTCTATACACTTACGACGCGGGAGAGCACACACCGAAACTGCTTCCCTGTTCGCACACCATATGCCGCATATGTCTGGAGCGCATTACTGTGGCCGCAGGTCTTCGCGACCAAACCGGTAACTTTCGGTGTCCGATATGCCGCGAGTCGATTACAGTTCCGCGCGGCGGTGTCGTCGCCTTTCCGCCGTCCTTTCTGGTCAACCAATTGCTGGATCTAATGACTCGTCAGCGGCGGGAAGTGATCCCCAAGTGCTCGAGTCATGTCTCCCAAGAGCTGCTCTTTTGCGAGACATGTGATTGTGTCTTCTGCAGCGTCTGCACCAATGGTTCGCACGGATCCAACGATTCTAACGACTCGTCTGACTCGGGAATGCATGGAAATAACTGCGAACACACGGTATGTATCGCATACTTAATACGGCTCTAATTGTACGCTAACGTGACATTTTTTGGTCCATCAGGTGATCCCATTCTCCATAGCAATCAAGCGTTTGAGTGAAATATTGTTATACAAAGCGCACCAAACCATTCAGAAGTTGAACGAAGCGGCGGATAATGTGTTGAATGAAATGCGAAAACTGGACCAAAACTCGGAACACGCTTTTGAAGACATTAACCGCACGTTTCAGGAGATCATTAATGTGGTCGACAGAAGGCGTCAAGAATTGCTTAGTTATGCCAAAAAGATTAGAGAAGACAAGAGAAATGTATTGACAGAACAGTTGAATATAATAGAGACGGAAAAGGCAAAAGTGGAGACCGAGTGCTGTGGACTCGAATACCAGGTGGAGGTCCGCAATATCAGCAAAAAGATCTCAGACCTGAACCAAAAGTTGGATTCAGTGAATACATTACACGAGCCGCGGGAGAACTGTTTCATCCGTTACGAGCACTTGCATAACACAGCCGTCAATGACATCCAGGAATGTGTGAACAATTTCGGAACCATAAGGACCAGCAAAACGTTTCCCTCCCTTTGCACCGCAACTGTTAGCAAATGTTCGGCTAATTTGCATTCAATCGCTCACATCATCGCTTATGACTACAACGGTATGCGCCAGAAGTTTGGCGGCGATCCGGTCAGCGCCGAACTCAAACACATTGCCGACGGATCCAGTGTTAGCACAAGAATCGTCGACAACAGGGACGGCACATATGAGGTCCACTTTACGCCTCAGAAACACGGCGTCTATAGCCTTAAGATTGCGATATTTGGGCGCCCTATCAAAGACTTCCCGCTCGAGTTGATGGCTTCGGAGCACATCAACCCGCTATGCATTTACGGCTGTCGCGGATCAGATTTGCACCAATTTATACAACCGGTTGGTCTGGCGATCGGCCAAAACGATGGACAAGTTTACGTGTTGGACACCGGGAACGGAAGAATCAAAATTTTGTTGCAAAACAATTGCAATAATTCTCCCTTTAGTTTTGTGAAACATATCGAAGGCCACGGTTTAGACAACAGAGCGGGCACTGGCATCGCGTTGACCGCCAGTTCTGAGACACTTCTAGTCAGCAATTGGCGCAATAGGAATATCACTGAAATCACACTCGAAGGCCAGTTTGTTAGACACTTCGGTCACCGAGACTTCATTGAGCCCACGTGTCTGGCAGTGAACACGAAAGGCGAGATAGTGGTGGCCGACAACGGGGCGCACTCTGTCTTTCTCTTCCATCCCGTCGGCAAACTTAACACCAAAATAGTGGGCATTCCGTCGAAAGCGAGTAACAGTCCAAAGGGTGAGCCATTAGGAGTGATCGGCGCCGTCTGTTTTGATCCGACGGGCAATATATTGATCGCCGACTCCCGTATCTTAGTGTTTGACTCTAGCGGTCAATTCAAGCGCGAGATCTACTCCGAGGGCAAAAATCGAGGACAATATTACGGCATAACAGTTGACAACAACAACAATCTATTGGCCACTAGAGTGGAGAAAACCAAGAGTTTTATCCAAGTGTTTGACTTAAACTCCGGTCAATTGAAGTTCTGTATTGACAGCAGTGACGCTAAACTCAAACGACCGACAAGTTTAGTGACCACTAATGATAATCACGTGATTGTTGTCGATCTGGGAAACGATTGCATTAAAAAGTATCGATACTTTTAATGTGTCCTTAAACTCCTTTTTTCTATTAATTTTCAAAGCGTTTCTTATTATTACTCTATTATTTAAATCAAAGCTTAAACACAAACCAATCAATCATTCCGTTCAGCAGTTTTACTGAACACTTCAATCATACGAATAGTCTTTCATATATAAAATGTTTTTTATAATTTGTTTTGTTGTCTATTCATTGAAAATATATTCTTAAAGCAATTGAATGAATACTTTTTAAATACAAACCCTTTTATCTGTAATATTTATGAAACCAAATCTTTTAAAACAATTTAAAAAATACTCTGATTTATACAAAAAAGAAAACAGTTTCTTAAAAGATATGGATTGCAGGAAAATATGTTCTTATAATTTGATTCAAATATAAGTCACATTTATAAACCAATTCTTGAATGACTGGTTCGTGAAAATCGGCAGAAAATTTATAGAAAAAAAGGTAAAAACGAAATATTTTGATTCAAAAAAGTGAATATTTGTTTATAAGAAACACAGTTTTTTTGTTAATCGATTGTAATGTCCATAAAAGCCATTATTTCCAGTTATGCCGTAAATTTATCGAAAAAATTAAAATTCATTTTCCTGTTAATCAACCGCTAGTCAAACGTCAATTACTATTGAAGTTTTGCATTTATATTAATGAAAACCATTTGTATACCAATTATATTACTTCAGTACTTATACTTCTCAACACAAACTATTTCTTATGTTTTTTGAACTCTATTTTTAAAGTAAAACTTCTTTAAACTTCATTTACTTATGTTTTATTGAATAAAATCTTGAGTTTTATTATTATAATTAGTGTTAAGCGAAGACCGAAATTATAAGTTATATTACAGTAGAAGAGGACTGACTGTAAATATATCTGTGATTTAATGTACGAACGAATAATCAGTCATATTATTCGTCAAACTTTTTCTCTTAAAACTTATTTAATTGTAATTATAATAAAGAATATAAAAATGTAAATCTATATTATATATAAGTTTTTAAAATATATATTAAAAACCCATTTTTGCTCTTATTTTTGTTGACTTATTTAACATTGATTTGCATATTATAAATAAATCAAAGCACATTTTCAACTTGAAAAACTCATAAACAATGTAATTATAATGTAATGTAAATATCAATTAATTTAATACATATCCGTATTTATTAAATAATTAGCGAAAGATTTAATTTATTGAAAAAATACGAAACGTTTATTTGGATTGTCGTTGAAATGGATTCGAGAACTGAATACATGATTATTATTATAACTAGAGATTAGCCAAACACTGCATTTCGCAACTCTTTGAATATGTTATGAAACTATAGACGAGAACATAATTAACCCATTTTTCGTATTTTTGAGAGTAATTGTATTTCATGTTCTCATACACTGTATGCTGTGTTGTGTTGTTTTTGACTTCATTTAAATGTGTTCTCAACTCAAACAGTGTTTAAGTAAATCTCAAATGATTTATATTTCAATCGATAGTATTTATGATTAGGAAGAAGAAGAAGAAATATCTTCTGGAATATGAATTCAATTTATGTGTTGTTATTCTAATGACTGAATACATGAATATATCTGCTATTCCTCTCCTAATGGCATAAATAAATCCTTTTTTGAGATAATTATAGAGAAAATTTGATTAAAGAGATGACTGACACAAATGCACTAAAATTGCACCAAAGACTTGAAACCCTAACCGATTTATAACTAAATACAATATTCACAGTAATTTATACTATGTTTTTAATAAGCATTTATTTATTTCCCTCTAAAATGTGTTTTTTAATGTTTTTTTCCGAATCAAATCGACTTCAATATACTTTAGCTAATGATTTGCTTTTTGAGGAAAACTAGTTTTATATACACTATTATAACAAACATTAAGTTTATTATGAAAATTGATTTACCATTCGTTCAGTATTTTCCAACTATTTATTTCGTTTCCATTAGTGGGGAGAGAGAGAGAGAGAGAGAGAGAG